GAGCAACACCTTTGGTTTGGGTGAGATGTTATAAAGGCGTACAACTGGTTCTTGAACTTTGTGCTTGTTTAACAGGCTGTCCTGGCCTTACCATAGAACATGTTTATAAGAAGCAAGGATGTGACAAGAAGCTAACGATATCTAACAATCAGTGAAGCTAACGATTATTAGGTGGCTGAGTGGTTTATGTCTTTCCTCCACCCATTTTCTCCTGCAGGCGGCCATGTCGGCGGCCGAGGTGCATTGGAGATATCACTCTGCTGCTCGCTGTGCCAAGCTTTCTCGGATCAAGAAGATTTATCACTGTGGTGTTCTTTTTCCTATTGGCGGACCAAGAATTAGAAGGGACATTGCCTATTGCTCGTGCAAAGAGACCGAGGAAACATGGGTTTGTTTAATGATCTACCAGCAAAGACCATTTGCGGCCCAGAAAAAAAACAGCAGTTCCAGTTCTCGCGGTGTGTTCCAAACGGATAGGTGCCAGTTCTCGAAGCGGGGGTCAAGACGGGGTTGTCACATCCAACGGACGTAAGGGACGTCTGAAGGGGAACTGCTGGTTGTAAGGCCAGGAGCCCCGTTCGTAGCGTCCGATCGCTCCGTTCGTTTGCCTAGGCCAGGAGCCCCTAATCTTCGGTGTTTGGCAGGCTTTGGTAGGTCAACGCCCACTTCTTCGACGTTCACGGCGCCAGGGCGCGCAAACCGTCGCTGCCGGCGCAGAGGCAGCAGCGGAAACCGCTGAGGCCGGCGCGACACGGGGTGACCCTGCAAACTAACTCCCCAGTGTTTGGAACCGGGTTTTCTTATCCCAGACACTCCCATGGGACTGTCATACTTGATCATATTTGCCCACTCCCTGGGGTGGTTTTGGGGGCTGACTTATATATTCCATACGTGGAGTGTCCAGGTCTTCAGCTTACGGTCAACGCTTACAGTCAACTTCAGCAAATCCAAGTTGGCCAATCTGGACCGCAATTGCTCGTGTTAAGTCAGAGAGAAATCTGGTAATTAGTTTGTCCTGTTGATAGGTATCCCACATCTGATGATCAAAACTCTTTGCGGGCCTCCGACTTGCTTCGATCCCCCATTCATGCAAAGAAACCGGTTTTGAATCGCAGACGGGGAATCGCTCTCAGACGTGAACCGTCCAGGAGCCACAGGGTCCCGAACGGAGGAAGGAGTTGGGTGGGTGCCACATCACATCCACAGCCCCATCCAGGGGACGAAATCAAAAGCACCCCGACATGGGATCTCTCCTGGGATCTGCTGGAAACCAACATGGTGGTTGACGAATTCTTCGTTCGATCTGATCGCACATGCTCAGGTGGGTAGCATGGTGGAGGCTGCTATGAGCCTGGCCGGGGTCCCCACCCGGCCTAAAGCTGTCACTCGTCACCTTTCGGCTGTGCCAGACGTGGTCACAATGGATGGGTGCGAAGGTATGCGCAGGTCGTGTCTTGTCCAGGTCCTTTTCACATTCCAAACGTTGCCAGTCCCACGAGGCATGCAGTCATGATGGTTTCCAATGTGTGCATTGTTTACGTATTTTATGTTTTTTTGTTGCTCGTGCTTCAAGGACACCTATGTGGTCCGTCAAAGCCTTTGACATGTTGGTGGTAGACCAAAGCTGATTTCGGGTGTTCAGCACATTCATCAATTCTTCCACCCTGTGGCTGAGAGCCATCTTTGGATTCATTGGCATCCGAAAAGGCAAAACATAACTCTCTTGACTCGGTCCTCCCCAGCAGTGGTTCGCTCAAGGATCCAAGTCTTGAGGCGGTTCATAGTCTTTCAATGTCTATTTTACCATGATGTTCAGGAAGGTTTTCCATGTTTTTTCTTGGGCCATGGTGAGCTTCTTCTGCACTCACTTGAAGAGACCCACCCCTCGCCCCACCCCTCGCACCATGTCGCACCATGTCGCCTGGAGCTGACACTCCGAGGCCCTCCCAGGTGTCTTGGCCTCGTTGGGCAGTCTAGCCCGGGACGCCCGGACTGGCGGGTGCGGGTGCGGCGGAGTGGCGCAAGCCCACCGTTTGGTGGGTATATTGGGTTTTTCATGGCTTTTCCCCCTGAGGGGTGAGGTTGATTCTCCCGAACTGGGTGAATCCCCAAACCTGGGGATCCTGGTATTTGGTCCGGGAGCTGCAAATCCAAGGTATGCATGCGTCATGATAGTCACTCTATGTCTCATTATATCATATTATATCTCCCTTTTTTAGCGGCCTGTTTGCGCTTTAGTTCTTCTTACAGCCTTTGGGTGCACGTGTATGTGTGGCTTGAGCCGCAACTCCAAGGGCCTCGAGTAAGACAACGGCACGGTCTCGTCTTCCGTGGAGATCGAGTCTTCCGGCGCCGCTTTTCCCTTCACCCCACCGACCGACCCGACCCGAAACGAATGACTGAACTTGAACAAACCTTCAGCGAGCTGCATTAATAAGAACCTCAAACCGCCTCTCAGGTCACAGATTCATCTCGCAACAAACTTGCTGCCAAACTGAGTTTAGCACCATGCACCTCCATGTTTCCCGTTTGTTCAAACCTCAATCCCGTTTTTCATGTGTCTATTTGGATAATTAACATGTCTATTTCTCAAACCTCCTGTTTTCATGTTCACCACCTCCATGAGCCTCCATGTCCCGCTCGGACCCGCGGCCTCACCCGCCATCCTGCCGGCCGCCGTCCGCCGTCCGAGGCGGGTTTGGTGGTCCAGGGAGTCCAGGATCAGATCGGATTGGGCGGGTGTTTTGTAGGTGATCGGAGCATCAACGACCCAAAACATGGGATCAGTGGCACTTTGTTTACCCTCTAGGAGCTGTATGACCTAGGCCGGTAGCCTAGGTCATTGGATTATTTAAAAAACAAAAAGGTGATCATCCGTGAACAATCATCCTGTTTTTGGTGTGAATCTGAATGGAATTACAATATTGAGTTATCCTGGTTTTGGATCATCCTGTTTGGGTGTCCTGTCTGGAGGTCCAGTCTAGCAGCGGGCTGGGTAGTCCAGCCAGGGCACCCAGACAGGATGACCCAGGTGGTGATTTTCTGAAATTGAAATTTGTGTACCCTGATCTGACTGGTTTTGCTTGGTTTTGCTCATGGTGCGTTTGCTTTAAACTCTTCTCGAGATACCAGTGAATCCCCCTTGCTGGGGAAGATGTGTGACGTTTTCTTTCCCGGTTGCTGGGCATCAAATCCAAGATTAACAATTACAGGACAGGGGTAGTGAGTGAGTCAGGGCTATGCGGCTATGCAGCATCTGTTTTTGCAGGGATATGAGGGACCCCGCTTGGCAGCAGACCTTGGGGGTTTGCAGATTTTCTTGGCAGAGGAGTTTGTTGGTTCGTTTACATTATTTGTTTATTGTGTTTTATTTAATTGTCGCTTGGATTGTGTGTGCAAGAGTTCACTGTCATTCTGATTCCAGCACTTGTCAACCAATGATCGCGCCAGCCAAGTCAAGCTGTAAACTTGAAAGTTTTGTCAATTTGTGTCTAGGACAGCAGACCAAGCCAAACAAACACAGGCTCCTGACAGGTTTGGGCAAATCCAAGCTGAAGACTAGTTGTAACCCCCCACGTGCTTGCGATTCGCAGAAACATGTTAAACTTCAGACCTCACAGCTTAAGAAGCCATCAGACTCTCACAGCTTAAGAAGGCCCAACAGCTTCCAAGGCCCATGGTGTTCAGCCATTGACCACGCATCGAAGAGACCAATAATGATCAACAAATCACACAAATCACAGAACCCTGAGGCCCTCGCCCTCTGGTCAGTCACCATCAGTCGCCCTCAGTGAACACCTCTCTGAAGATTCCAAAATGACCCGACGAAAGTCACATCCAATTTCTCCCGCTTGGGAAACCCCGCCCAAAGCAGTCGCCACCTGTCTCCGAACTGTTTGCGCGCCGTGGCACGTGCGGTGCCTCAGAGGCAGCCACCCAGCAGTGGGTGGTCAGGTATAGAAGAGCTTCTAGAAGACTCAGATGAGGGGTCCAAGACTGTCAGATTCCTTTGGAGGATGAACTGAAGATGATTGAAGCAAAGCCATAGGTGAACATCAGGTAAATTAACGCATCCCCACATGGGGCCCTGTTGACCTTCCAGCCACTTTGTATTGTTTGGGACTCAAGCAGGGTGGTAGGCTTTGTGAGCTAGCCAGGTCACAACTGGAAGTATCTGAAAGGGTCTCCTATTGCGGAGACCTTGTGGAGTGTGAGTAGCAGCACGATAGATTGAGGAACAGTGTTTGGGAATCCTATTTGGTTCCTCCAACTGCGCAAGATATACAGCTTTTCATACCAAAACCCATCCAGCATGCAGACTTGTTGCATGGTTGGAAGATCCTAGTGTACATGAGCAGGGTCTACTGTGGTCATCCGCTGCCATTTGTTTGGGGAAGGGCACTCGGAGGGATCTAAACATCACAGCAGAAAAGAAGAAAGATGTCCAAGTCTTGTTGGACTTCTTTTCTATAGGGAGTTTGACGTATTCCCCTCATCCAACGACCAAAAGACGGCCAACCCTCCAAACACTGGAAATGGGAGAAGGCCGAACACGTAGCATCGGCCTGGCCCTTTGGGGGCGGTGAATTCCGGAGGGCCAACACGGACCAAGCCGCTCAACCTTTCTTGGCTCCAGCTTGAGTCCTGTTTCACCACAACGCAGCGTTTAAGTTGCGTGGCGACCATGGTCAGCGCCAGCCCAGAAGTAAATCGGGAGACACACCAATCAATGAACACAGTTGCAATCATGATGTTGATCAGGAATAAACCCCAGGGCTCCTGGCCTACCTCCTTTTCGAAGATGGTTATGGTGGGTGCCAGAGGGTCTAACCACCGAACCTGAGGATATGGAGCCAGTCGCAAGTGGTTCCTTAAGCGTCACCGTCCAAGGCCCCCAAGGGAAAGAACAGCTCTTTGACAGTACGCAAGATCTCACGAGAGCGACCATTCTTGACGTAATCCAAACAGTTTCCCTGCAGCCATACCACGAAACCTGCCTACACCATCCACCGTGATGCCCCTATTTTGGGATGGACCGTCCATGCTTCTACTCTTTCCAGTCTCACCATCCACCGACCCGGCTCGCCATCTCGTCATGATTGACGAGGCAGCACAGAGGTTGGAGGCAGCGCGGCAGGAGGCACTGGCTGCGGTGAAGGTCGATGGCTTGGAGCTGCGGAAGATGGGCGACTTCCGGGCCGAGAAGGAGGCAGGGGGGCCCGCTCCGGCCAATGTTCCCAAACCATGTTTGAGACCTATGTAGACTCTAGACGTGGTGCTTACCCCAAACTTCGAGGCCTTTGCCATGTCAATCATGTCTTAGTACTGGTCGTACTTCGCAGTCACATCGAAGCCGAACAGGTGGTCTTGGCTGCCGTGCAGCACACGGGCATGGCGCTGTATTATGCTTCCCCGGCCTTAAGGGACGACCTCGAGGCACGTACGAGGGGACGAGGGCGCAACGTCGCATCGATGTGGCACACGGCACAACACTCCGAGTGTCAAGTGAGCACCTCCGGCCGGACCTCAACCACTCCGACGACACAGAACCGACCCAGAGGGCAAAACAAGCCCTGGACCAGATCCGTGGCCGAAGCACAACACTCTACACGGATCTCACAAAGACAAACAAGCGCAAACGCGCTGAAGTCACCGAAGATGGTCTGAACACTGATCGCATGTGGGTCTTGGAGATGATATCAGGTGGTTGTTTGTCGTTGTAGTTGTCGTTGTCGTTGTCCTTGTCCTTGTTCTTGTTCTTGTTGTTCTTGTTCTTGTTCTTGTTCTTTTTTTGATGAAATGAGCCTACAAAACCCCCGTGATAAGCTTTGCACCACAGAATCGCACATGGTCGAGAAAAATCAGAGGCAGATCCTCCAACTCGGCCACCAAATTCGACCCCTCCCCCTTAGCAGGGCGCGGCCAAGCCAAGCTAGCCACGCTAGCCGCTTCGGATTCTGTTTCTTCGCGTGTACCGACGCGACGCTCAGGTGGTGATGGCTGCTGTGGAGCAGCACTGGATGGCTTTACAGTATGCCTCGGAGGAGCTCCGCGACGACTTCGATGTGGGTCTTCGCGCGGTGAAAGCCAATGGCTTAGCCCTCCGGGAGACCGGCGCCTTGGAACGTCCGCGTCCGTCCTTTCCGCCGGTTGGTTTGGGATGTGCGGAGTAGAGGCATGATATGGCATGACAGGTGTTGGGAGGGTTGCTCATGGTTTCTCTATGTGTTTGCTTGTTGTTGTTTCTGTGTTTGTTTGTTGATCCTCAGGCTTCAGCTATTCTCAGCAAGATTCCCCACAATGTATGACCGGAGTTGAGTTTGAGTGAATGGGAAGTTTAAAGCCGCACAAAAAAAAAGTGGTGTTGGCATGTTGGGGAGGAGTCTTGGCTTTGTGTGTGTGCAGCCGCTGTAGATGATAAGCTGTTCATGTCAAATTCCTTTGGCCTTTCAGCAATCTAACGCCATGCCATAAGCAAAAAGGGTCAGTTCATGTCAGTTCCCATCATCTCAATTCAGATCACTTGAGAATGCTAAATACTCAGGCCGAGCGGCTGGTGGAAGGGTCCGACAGATGGTTTGTTTTAGGCTGGAATGATTGTATAGTTAGAAGTTCCAACATGCAAACAATCAACATCAATCCCAATCATCAATTCTTGACCGAACCGAGCTTGCACAGACGTTGTGGCCGGGTTAAAACAGTTGCTCTACAGAAAAGTTACCTACTTTGTCCACCAAGAGGGAATCTATAGCGATTTTGGACACGTGACAGTCAGGACATATTTGGGTAGTATATAGAATACGGAGACCTCCAGGTATTTGCTGTTTTTTTTACAGGAGGACCGAGAGCTTTTGTTTACATACTTGTACTGCTTTCGACTAAGTACTACTACTACTACTGCTACTAGTTCCTCTCCGGTGCCCTAGGACCACAGTGCAAAGACAATGCCAACCTCGTGATGGAGGCGGTGAGCAACGATGGCCGGGCGCTGCAATATGCCTCGGAGAATCTGAGACGAGACAACTTCGTGGTCATGGAAGCCCTGCCGCTTGGCTACGAAACTGACATGGAGGGATGACAGAGGATGACAGAGGATGACAGTGTCATGGCACTCTGCAAGGACCATGTAAAGATTGGGATGCTGGTTGCCAAAAAGTGTACACTTCTACGGCCGCAAAACTGTGAAACCCTTGAGAAGGTCAACTTGATTTGGGTGCCAACCCATGTTGTTTTCGGGAGTTAAGAGGGGCATCTCCTGCGTGTACCAAATTGAACTGTACATAACCCGTATGTAGGGTGCTTCTTTCCTGATCCATAGGTTTTGTAGAGTTCTGTACCTGGTGTTTTGCCGAGCTATGCTGAGAACTCATCCAAGCGAGACATGGGCCAGTGGCTTTTGCCCCAAGCAGTGCCTGTTTTCGAGTCACAGACTGAAGATGGACTATCACGGTCAGTCCTTCCTTGGTGAAACACGTAGCCTGTTTGACACCGGTGTCCAGAACCTCCTTGGCATGTTGGTCAGCTTGGCGCTCTCGTTGTGCGGGATTTTTCGGAGATCTCACCGGCGCGTTTTCGCATCAATTGGGCGGAAGCGCAATGTCCCACATCCATGTCCTCCAAGGAAGCATGATCCAGAAGCCTTGGAATTCGCAGACGAGGAGTTGAAAGACTCATTGGAGGTGCGGAGGTCTCAGGGGATCTCATTTGTTGGAGAGTTCCTGGGACTAGCTCGGTATAATCAACAGCTGTAGGCCGTTGATTGTATAGAGTGTAGAACCTCTTTCCTGTGAGACGCTTTACTAATCAAGAGTCTACAAAAAGTGGAAACTGTCCATTCTCCTGGTGTCAAGGTTCCCCAACATTGCCTTGACCGCGTAGAAAAGGCACAAAAGGATCTTCATCATGATCCCCCTCGCTTTTGCACCTAGCATAGAGGTCAACTGCCATCCATCATCTGAGCTGTGGACGAGTTTTTCGTTCCAGTCAGCCCCGTTCGCTTGGCAGAGGATCCCTTAACTGGCAGGGTCTTTATCAAGATTTGCATCTCACACCCACTTGCCACCTCCCCAAAACCCTCAAACAACTCCTAACCAGGCCCTATAACCATTAAACCATACTAAAACCCTAACCCTCATCTTCCAGCCCCTCCTCTGTCAGAACCGTCAAAGTACCCGACCCACCGCCACCACACGACGCCGCGCCACCGCCAACGCACGAGGTCATCATGCCTGCGCTGCGACGGGATGGTGCCGTGCTGCGCTTCCTGCCGGACGCGATGCGCGACAATGGGGACGTGGCCTTGGACGCGGTGCAAACCTGCGGATTGGCGGTGGCCTATGCCAGCCTCCGCGTGCGCGGAGACAAGGAGGCAGCGTAGCAAGGGAGGGTTGTCCAAGCAAGAAACATGAACAGGTGGACGAAGAACATGTGTTAAATTCATATATATAATCTCATATAATATATATATAATGTCGACACCGGATCAACCCCACCTTCAAGGTCAACAAAGTTTGAGATTGGAAGGATTGGAGACCGCATCCCCTTAATAAAGGTGATCACCTGATGATGGATGATGAGATGATGACAAGATTAGGAAAGATTGGGATTGGGATGATTAGGAAAGAGATGAATTCGATTGGAAGACAATATGTTTTCGTTGATTGAAATGAATAGTATACGTGTGTTATTTGTTTTTCTCTGGGGGCAGCTGGGCTTGAATTTTTAATTGGGGGAGGGGCCCTACTATTCGAGGGTGGTAGGGCCTGTGTGAGGTTGAACACCTTAACGTGTTGATAGTGTTTTAATAAGGGAACATGACATGATTTTGCTAGCAAGTTTTGTGTTTTGTGTTTTCACAGGGAAGGATGAGAAGAAACAGGTGGATCAGAAGATTTGTTTCACCATGGAGGAGAAGATATTGAGTACTGCCCAAAAAGAATAAAGATATATACATATATGTGTTTTTCTTTTCTGGGGGAGCTGGGCTTGATTAATAACGGGAGGTTACTTAATCCAGTGTCAACATTACTTTACTGATTTATGTTTGTAAACAGTATACATTGTAACCTAATAATTGTTACTAAAATGATCATTCCACCTTGACCTGACCTGCTTGTGATTCCCAGATGTTTTGGTCTGTAAAGTGGTGTCGGCCTTCCCTGCAGGACTTTCTGGTTCATAAGGTAGTGATCTATTGATTCAACCAAGGGGCCAAGGATTTTCGAGTCCATGAGATGCAAGTGATGGGCAATGAATGTTGGAGAATCCTTGTACATCCTTGTATGTTTGTGAGCCCTTGCTCAGCGGAGCTTGAAGATTCTTGCCAAATTCTTGCCATTGAGGTGCTGGAGGTTACTTTCAGGTCCAAAGTTTGCAAAATTACAGGCCCATAGACGCTGCAACATTTTGCAACTGATCCTTTTTGCACGATGTTGCACTCACTTCCTGCTCAGGTGTTCTGGGTATACTGAAGTCCTGCTCCAAACATGACCAAGAATCGGAAGTTTCCCCTTCTATTTTCTGGTAGCTAATCCAGTCACTGAGTGGTGGAATTGTTTACAGTAAAAAGGAAGGATTGAATCGTCCATTCGCTATACTTTTGCTTGGAGAAGGATCAATGACCATCCGGTCATAGAAGGAGTGATGTTTTGAGTGTCTCTGGCCTTCCGAAGCATAGAAATCACATCTAAAGTCTACATGAACAATGAAAATAAACCATGTTCTCCTGTTCCGTGGAAAAAGACCGATGCCACCAAACCGATGGCGCTTCCCAGGTGATCCTGGCAGCGGTCCGTGCAGATGGTTTCGCCTTGGCCTATGCGACGCAAGAGTTGCAAGGCGACGAGGACGTGGTGGACGCCGCGTGTGGCGAAAACCCCTTGGCGCTGCAGTACGCTTCTGATCGCTGGCGCTGCGAGAAGGACGATTTCTATAGGGATGGGTAGAGGGATGGGTGTAGGGAATGATTGTAGAGATGGGTGTAGGGATCGGCAGAGTGCTTTGTTCATGTGATTGGTCTCGAAACATGGTCGAACAGTCTATGTTAGTTGTTCATTGATAAGCTTTCAAACATCCTGTACATTTCCAGTAATCTATCATCACATATGTGCTTTCAGCATTCGATTCTATAAAAAGAGCCATCTAAACCTGCACCTATGCACCTTTACAACGAAACCCTGCATCTCCGCCCATCTCCAGGACTTTGTGAAGGGTGTTGTGGGCAACGACGGCTTGGCCTTGGAGTTTGTTTCCGGTGGCCTTTCCAACGACAAGGAGGTCTGCATGGAAGCGGTCTCGAACACCGGCGCGGCGCTCATCCACTGCTCGGCGCAGCTGCGCGACGACGCTCGGTCCGAGCGGTTGCTGCGACGTGAGCGTGCTGCATCCCCCCTGGTGGGAGGGTACCCCAAATGCAACATGATGCAACTTCAGAGACTTGCTGTGTGGACTGAATGTTGCAAGATAGTAGTGAAACAGGGACGTTCCTAGGAGTTGATGCGTTGTTTCCGTTGCAAGATGTTCCCATTGTGGCACCATATTCAGACGGTAAAGTGAAGATATATTCATGTTCAAAGCAGGTTAAATCATGTTATAGTTGTCCCCAAATTGATAGAAACGGTTTCCGCTATATGTTTAGTGGGGATCTACTATTCTTACTAATTGGGGGTCTATATAAAGCATCTTGATTAAAGTCGATTCCATGTAGTGTTTACACCCTTGGCCCACAATCCTCACCGGATCGATGGGTGTGCGTTGGCGGGTCATTTCTTTGCTTTGCCGACTTGACTTCAGGAAGAAAACATCAGGTTTGTTCCATGTCCTGAAGTTCTGAACCCGCCAACCAAACATGACCCATCCAACGAGTCCATCCAACAGTCCACGGCTCGAGGATGACGACATCGTGCGCACCGCGGTGAACAATGACGGCTTGCAGTTCTTGCACGTCTCTCCACGGCTTCGGCATGATCGAGACTTGCTCCTCTTGGCGGTGAAGAGGTCGCCCAGAGCACTGGCTCATGCTCTGGTGGATCAGATTCATGATCAGGAGGCGGAGGAGAGAAGCAGAAAAATAGCAGATGTGTAACTTCCTACAAAAACGCTCAAATATGCTCAGATATTAATATGTAATGTAATGATGTATGTGCAAAAAACAGGGGCAACATGGGCTCAAGATACATATATGTTTGACAAGACCAACGCATAGCTTTGCTGCTCTTGGATTTGCAAACATACATACACCAAATTGAACACTTCCACTTATGCAACACAAGTTGTTCCGAGGTTCCTTGTTTTCCCCAAAAAAAAAACATGTCCGGCGCATTACCGGCCTAGTCGTTTCGAGTCGTTTTCACCAGCCTCTTCAAGGCTTTGAGCAAGGGATGGGTGTCAGGATTCACCCAATGGAATCACGATATCGCAGGATCTGTAGGGCTCATGATGTCATGTACAAAGGTCATGAATGAAGAACACTTACTAAGGCTATTTCAACCATAGAGACGCTTGTCTAGGGTAGTTGTTGATGGTGAACGTTTTGAATATTCCTCCCGTGAAGAAGATTTGTGGCCACTCATCATGTTCCATGGTGACTGTCTCAGTTCCTTCACCTGCCGTGGGTCATGACAGCTTAGAACCACACAGTTCGTCTCTCGTTCAGGTGGTGCGTACCGCTGTAGCGGGTGATGGCATGGTGCTGGTTTGGGCGCCTGAAGAGCTGCGAGACGACGAGGAGGTGGTCTACGCAGCTGTCGCCCAGAATGGCCTCGCACTGGAATATGCCAGTGGCAGGCGGATTTCCTGCGAAATCGACTTACTGTCCCCATGCATTGCAGATAGGACTTAGGACTGTACTAGTAGGAGTTGGCCAGATAAAAATGGACAGTCACGATCCTCTGATCATCCTGGATTTGGTAATTTGTAATGTTGGATGTTCCCCCCGAAGCTATTCTTAATCACTGGATTTGACATCTACAGTATTCTGACACTGACACGGTGCACTTGCTTTGATTCCAGTCGCACAGTCGCACACAAGGTCGTGCCCTGCCTTCAGGTTGAGATCCAAGTGCGAGATCGTCCTCGCTGCCTTGGGTCAAAACCCAGAGGCCTTCGTCTACGTGATGCCCGGCACGCGCGACGACGTGCGCTTGATGGCCTTGGGCCAGGCACGACGGCCAAAGCTGCAAGAGATGCTGGAGGAACGGGAGACTGGAACGCTGAATTGGGGTGATCAACGGGGGTTTAGTGAGGAAACGCTGGGGAAGGCAGGAAGTCTATACTTTGACCTGGTTTTGCGGAGAGAGTGATTTTAATATGTTCAAGCAATTTTCTCCATGTAGTGAATCCCTTCTGGTGAAGATGTTATAGTTATATTTTGTTTTTCTGGTTCTTTGACCGCAAGTTGAGGAACCCTCTCAGGTGCAACATGCTATGCAAGAGCTCCACAAGAAGGCCCTGCCTATGTGTGGTGAAACTGTGTTTTGTTCCATTGAATTGCTCAATTATTTTCGACATTCGCTTTTGGTGGAAATATGTGGAAGTCAATGATTGAGACCATTCATGCATTGAATAGTTCCTTACTTTGAGGTCATCGGGCGGATGCAACTATTCAATTCATCAACATGGATCAATTGAGAGTCCATCATTCTGCCCCGCAACCCTCGCACCTTCACCTGGTGGCTTCGTTGTCCCCGTGGTTGTCCCCAAGGAACTGCCAACGGCGCTACGGATGGCTTCGGCCAGGCTGCGTATGTGCCTTCACCTGCCTTCGGGTGTTGGGGTAGTGGATTTTCAGATTTGAGGAAGGCTCAGGATGGCAGTGAAGCATGGTGAGACCTGCGCCTTGCTTGTGGGGGGGCTTGGCCTTACATGAAGATTAGCATGGAACCAGTGGAACCAGAAAATTGACCTTTGGAAGACTAGTTTCCACAAACCGGTGGTTTTCAGGTTCCATGGTAATCTTCCAGGGCGTATATAATACTGTATACACCAAGAGAATTTCAGCTGTTTGCAAGTTTCCACATTCAGGTATCAGAACCGGCCCTGAATTTGTTTGCCCACCTTCTTCTTCGGCAAATGTTTGTCCTGATCGATATAATGAAGACACTACCAATCTCCCACTCTTCCACCAATGCCTCCTCATGCAGAGCTTTGGTCTTGGGGATCCCTCTTCATGAAGAAACAGTAAAGCCATGTAAGATCATGTAAGTAAGGTTCCAGAATTCCAATGTTTAAAATAGAGTCTAGAACCTTGGCCACCGGTGGGTACTGGTTGCCCCTTAATGGCCGAGGTTCGTGGAGCCGCTGCTGCAGGAGCTGAAGATATCCTGGCACGACGCCCGATGCGTCTTCCATCAGTTCAGCACGCTGGAGGACGAGGGGGTCCATGTTCGGGGGTTGAACAAGAACACAAAGAGGATGAGCCATGTCCACTTACAAAGAGTTTTGGACGTCCTACAGTCATACAGGTCCTTTCATTGGTTGCTTTATGTTGGTTAAGGGAGCACCAGGTCGTGCATGGTAGATGTTGTAAGCTGTGTGGTTACGGTGTTTTATCGATCGGGTGAGGCCTCGGGTTTTGTCGATCAATGAACTGTTCACAGTTGGATGAGTCTCATACTGACACTCCTCAAAAATGATCATGGAAGTGGAAACCCACCGATGATAATTCTTTCAGGAAACATACACTCCCGAAACTAACAGAGACCCTGACAATGGTAACCTGGAAGATTGTTTTCCTCTACGTACTAACAACCAGTGGTTTTGAGGGTCCATGTTAGTTTTCGGGGGTGTTTGGTTTATATAATTCTCAAGCACCTGGTGTGCCGTGAAGAGGTTGTTCCCGAGACCGAGGCACGATCCGATCGTGCTGGAGTTAAACCTGTTGGAAGAATGGGTGGAGTGAAACCTTGCAGTCTCACCGAACCCGGCTTTACACAGATCTATATATTGGTGAGTGACCAACTAGGAACTATGAGGTACAACGTCCCTGAGACCCTGTGGACGGCAGCGGCATGGTCGGCAAAAACGCCTTGGAATTCCGATCAAAATTGAAAAAACTATGAAACTGGGGTCGTCCGAAACTAATGACTTCGACATCCGACGACGCACACTTTCTCTTTCAGCGCAATTTGCAGGCAGCAGCTAGCTGCTTCAGCATCTCATCAGGTGTGAGATCTGTGGTAACCTTCAGGTTTCGGCGCCACAGCCATTGGTACACTCTTAACTTCAACACAGCTTAGCGTGGAGCCGACACCCGCTTAGCAAAAACTTTTCTCTGATGGCTGACTTGCACTATCGGCACCTTCAAGTCTTTGGCAATTTTCTGCCACGAGAGCGCCCCGTCAGCATACAAAGCAGGTTTGGCTGCACACAAGGATCATCTTGCAGGTCCGCTTCGGACTCCATTTCCTGCAGTTGATTAAGTTCAAAAAAAACCGTCCGCAGAATGAGGCCCTTCTTCTTTTGGAAAAGTTAGCATGGCAAGGTCTGCAACCAAAAAAGAATAAAAAGCTGAAATCTGCAATGAGGAATCTTCCAATTCTCGTTTGCGCTGCATTTGTCCGCGTAGAAGATCACGACTCAAAGGAGTCAAAGGTTGATCGTAGTCGTAGTCATGTTGATCTTCCCAAGAGCAAGGAGACAATGGTTCCTGAATGTGGTTTCCGTGTCATCGTTGCAAGCATGTTCTTAGGCTATTCTTCTTCCAACGAGACGTGGAACAAAAGCAAATGCCAACCCTTGAACACTGCAAAAGTCCTTCATAGCAATTCCACGACCATCATGCGGATAGCGTGCAACGTCCACACTACAGGGGAGAATGAAAAAAGTTTGGGAAAAGAGAACTTAAGACATCAAGTGGCCAGTATTGGCCGTCGTTGCGGAGGCGTTGCAGGGGCTGAAGTAGATGGCCTAGAAGGACTGTGAGAGACTAGCTTCCTCAGATCAAATGAAACAAAGTGTGGTGTCGAGGCTTGCACATACGACTTTTGTCGCCATTAAAAGTCTCCATGTAAGAGCACATGTCAATAGCACCCCACCCCACCCCACCCCACCCCATCCATCGCGTAGCATCTGCTACCTTAAACAACTGCTCGTAACGCCAAGTTGCAGAAACGGAGTTCCCGCATCCATGCGCCGACGCGGCGTCACCAAAGCGGCTGCTGCAGATCCATCTCGTGATCCATTGCCGTCGCAGAAACTGAACACATGTTGACATCCTTTTCATGAATGTGTGCAAGTGGTTGAGATTCAAGTTGCACAAAACAAAAACGTCTATTTCGTTTCTCCTGCCTCTATTTCATCTGTCCGGGTAAAGGATACCTACCTACCTGGGCCTTGATGCCACGACGCCGGCGCGCAAGAGAAAAAAATCGTGCAAAAACTGATTCAATAAAGCCCGATCGCGTCATGGCTCACAGGCCCCTGAAGACCTTTTAGGCAACTATGAATGGGGCCTTAGTGACCCAGAAATTTGCATCCCATGAGGATGACACACACACACATTGGTACACCCTTTTGGAGCTAAGAGTTCTTGGACGCTTCGTGGATTCGATAGAGAGGAACCTGAACCAACCAATAGAAGGAAGCATCTACCTGTGGGACGCTGTCCAGGTCCAGTCCACAGAGTGCCGCATGAAATTGGGCGGTTCATTCCATTTGCAACCTGCAGCAGGAAGCCATGGAAGCATAAAATGTTGGGATTCTGAGAATCTATGCCAGATTCTCCGGATGATCCTGTTCTTCCTGCAAGCCGACAAAAAGAAACTCATGGACCGTCTGTTTGCATGCTCTGAAGAGGAGCTACAGCCCGCCATCGATGAGCCCAAAGCATTCTTAGAGAAGCTGAGACGGAGGGAAGATGAGATGCTCGGAATGAAGCACTGAGTGGAGAGAGGTTAAGTGAAGAATGACCATAACCTGGGGTACCCAACTGGGATAGTCTATAAGGTTCTTCAACTTGGTCATGCAAGAGTCCTCCCAAACCACCACTTCAGGGTAGGATTTGTTTTACATATGATCGTCCAGTGTGGGAGTATCCAGGTTTTTGTTTGGACTTGTTTGGGGGACCCCTTCGCCTGGTATGGAGTAGTTTGAATCTTGGACAGCATTCATGAATCACGAGGGAAGGACTAAACCACTGCGAGTGGCTTCAGCTTGGCAGATGTACCCCTGCAGCAGTGGCCATCGGCACAGATCATTTGATCCAAGGCAATAACCAAAGCACAACAGATCAAAAACGTCACGCCAAAATCAAGCACACCAAAAACACCGAAAAACACCAACGGCCCATCCGCCCATAAGTCCGCGCCCCCTCCACCGCTCCACCGATGCCGTTCGAACACCCAAACACGCGACAAAGCACTTGGCGAGGATCGGTCACGCCTGGGCCATTGCCTCTGCACGCTTCAGCCTCGAACCCTTGGCCATGCAGCAGAAGCTCGGCAATTGGGAGGAGCTGGTGCCAGTGATGCTGAGCTGTACCAGGAAGGACTGAAGGGCGCGTTGGAAGTTTTTCAGGGTGGCTGGGAGGAGGTTCTGGGAGAGCTGGAAGGAGTTGTTGGGACGAAGGAAGCGTCCAGATCAGCCTATAAGGGCATATTTCCGTGGGATATATATTTTTTTTTGGCGGGGTGGGATACTATTTTTTCTTTTAGGGGCTCTGGAAGGAAGGGAGGAAGGAAGGAAGCAAGCAAGCAAGGAAGGAAGGAAGGAAGACAGGTGAGTTTGCTCATGTTTTTTTTGGGGGGGGTTGAGTCTTCTGATTCTGTTGCTTTAGACAGTTTCTCATTAGGTCTACTGGTTTTTTACGTGCTCTATTGGGTTTTTGAGCTACTTAAGTGATCCCTCTACGTGCTGGTGGCCCATAGCATCCACCTTTGTGGGGTCGTCCACGGTTCATAGCTGGTTTGAAGTCGACTGTTCGCGGGAGGCCCAGGGTCAGATCGGAGCGTTTTGCTTCGATGTGCAGCAAACCTAATGAGAAACTGTCTAAAGCAACAGAATCAGAAGACTCAAACCACAAAAAAACACATCCCACTAAAAAAAAAAACCGCTAAAAACCTGCAGCCTATAATTATACAAGTTTTTGCGTCCAGATAAGATCTCGGGGGCGATCAACAGGCGACGTTGGACTCTGGTAATTAGTAAGGAGTCTGTTTGCCGCGTTCCAGCAGACCGAAGATGAGGATAATGAGATCGAAGGGTTCGCTTCTTGCACTTTTCTACCAGATTCCCTGAGACCTGTGAGGTTTCCCCATCTTGATTTTTCCCCACCCGTAGGACTGTGGGGTAGCCCAACTTAGCTCTTCCACAGCACACTGGCCAAAGTGACCCCTGAGTAGCGCAACTTAGCTCTTCCACAGCACACTGGCCAAAGTG